CCATGGTTTTACCAGTAGGGCCTACTTTTTTGTAGGCCAAATTCACTTTCAAACTTTGTTCTCAATTGTCATCACTTAATTGATACTAAAAACAAAACTGAAATCATGTCATGTGTCCTCCTGTCCCCTGCTGATGGCACGTGGACAGCACATTTGTTTTTGTGAAGGAAGGTGGTGGGTATTTGCAGCTCATTAACAGGCAGGGACGGGGCACAGTGACGGCCACTGCCACTATTGGATTATGGGAGGGATTTTCAACTTGCAATAATCTGTCAGGCCACAGACAGCCCAACAGCCACTCAATCCCAGCGCTCTTTGCGTGCGGGATGTCACACACTCACACACATATGCCCCTCTTCGATAAAAGTGTGTGAAACTGCAAGGACGCAGACGAAAACTTGGACAATGAACCTCTTCTGCTTCACTCTGGTAAGAGAACGCTTCCTTGTTTGCTCATTTATACTGACAGCAGGACTCAGTTTTTTTTTTATCAGGAGTGATTCATCAGATATTCTAGAAGATTAAAAGAAATGAGAGGTTGACATCTCATGATCTGAATTGATTCACACTGACACTATGCCATATCAGGTTGAACTGATTATCTTCGTATCTGCCGGTAAAAGAACAAGATTAGACAATAATTGATTCCATTGCTGTTGGTTTAACATGAGCTGTAACGGTACTTGTACGTTTATATAACAGCAATGGTTTAGTATATTCAAGTGTTGATTTTCCAACATACTTTTATACTACAAACCAATATTTCCCAGATAAAGTTGCTAAAATGCTCGTTTTAGATGTAGATTATCATGATATGGCTAGAGAAAGTGGGATAGATTTGGCTGGGATTGGGCATGAGCGGAGGTGAGGATTACCGTGAGACAGAGAGCTTCTTACAGCAGATCACGGATCAGCAGAGAGGAAAATGTCCTATTCATGGATCAGGAATACTACAGGTCTGAAGGTCCTGAGCTGACACTGCATCCCCTGAATCTAGATACATCCATCCAACAACAGCCTGCAGCTCCTGAACATGTGTGAGAGAAGTCTCTGGACAATCCTAGTTTTTACAGAGTGCAGATCTAAAAATCATGGAGCAAGACTTTTAGCCACACATCCTCATCTTGAAAATTGTTTAAAGGCAGCCATATTGTAAAAATAACTATAGAAATTATAAAGCATGTATATGTATGTAATATATTATTACATATAATAAAAATAATAATTACATACATATAGGCTGCATACATTCATAAATTAAAATAGATGCTTAAATATGCAGGGATATCAACTCTCGTGCATTCAGACTCTGCTGATGAAACTGTTCTCAGGCCACACATTCATTTTCTCACTCAGTAAAAGGTTAATCGAGGACATCATCAACGCCCCGACAGACAAGACAGAGTAGGTTTCTTTTTATATCTAACAAAGTCTAAGCTTTTAAATTCTGTCAATTTTACAATGAAACAATAATTCAAACAATAATTAACTGTGGTTTTGGCGCTAATGTGGCGTGAGTGACAGATTCCTGTAGCGCCTCAGTTCACGCGGTATGTGATGTGAACGATCTTACTCTTCTTTACTAGTTACAGCACGAAGTAAACATGAAAAACATCAGAAGGAATGATGAAAGAAACAGTACAACTTACTGAAATGTATCACGTCTCATGTAATCGTTCAATCAGTGTTTCAACCGAGGAAAGACGTCGATAAAACAGCTGAAACAATGTTACCTCAGGAAAGCCATGTAACCCTACTACATTATGAGGACAAAATGTCCCCACAAAGATGGTAATATCCGAAATCCTTCTCCGTGTGCGAAAATGTTTTGGTCCCCATGAGGAAAACAGCTTATAAATCACAAAATGATGAAGTGCAGAAAGTTTTCTCTGATGGGTAGGTTATAGGGTTAGGCTGTGTGTGTGGTGTGTGTGTGTGTGTGTTTGTACAAATTATGTGTCTAGGCATATAGCCTATATGATTTAGTATATGATTTAATACAATACATTTTTCAATCAATCAATACAAAAATACAATCAACCAGTAAAAACACGTGAATACAAATTTAAATTATAATCAATTAAGGAATAGGCCCTAATATAAAAATAGAGAAAAGCATAACAAACTACAAGAATAGATTTTTGCTCAGATAGATAACAATGTCTCTTCTTTCAATAAGAATAATGATTCATCACATTTTACCTGTCATATATTACCTCCTTAACCTTAGTGACTGTTTTATAGGTAAACTATTTGACATTTTGGAGGTATTTCCACTCAGGTTACTTCTGTGATTCATGCTAGTAGCTAGCAAGGGTCTTATTTCTTATATTAAATGTCTTTCTTACTATTCTTAATCTGTGTTTGGTCCAGGATGGCTCTACTGACAGCCTGTACGAACCAGCCCAGATTGGCCTGAACAGTCAGGACTCAATACCCAGAAGGCCACCCAGCCCAAGCTCTGCGAAGAACATGGGTGTGTGGAGTGGATCCGAGCCCTGCATCGCCATGGTGGGTTCATCCGCACGTGCCTAAAATCGCAAGGGAATTCACATGCTATTTCATGAGACTCTGAACTACAGTTATGTTGAATGTGACATTGAGGACAATATTAATAAGCAGAAGTGCTGCCACCTGTATAACCGCTGATTAATCTGTGAGTGACGTGTGTGGGGTACAGCAGGTCACACTCATTAGGAAATTACCAAAATCCCGGCTTTTTTCCCCCCATACTTTTTATCCAGACGAGGTGCCGCACATGAGCTGATGCACATTTGATGTATCATATATGACCATGTCATATATGAAGACTAAATATGTTCTTGTCTCTCATTCCAGAAGCTTCCAGAGACTCACACAAGGAAGACTCAGGAAAATAAGACTTTGGAAAAGGCAAAGAGAAAGTAAGTACTGGATCTTTTGGTCTGTTAATGATACTTCAAGACCGGTACAATTTTTCCTTTTTGATTTATTGAAAAAATAGAATATATTGTTTATAGAAAATGGAAATAATTTTTACAATTGTGGGAAATTTAATTACACGAAGTAATACAATTGATTTTAATGCATTTCTCAAAACAATACATCTGTTATGGGAATGATAACATTAACATATCTTCTCTGAAATAGTTACAGTCAGTGTGGCCAGGGCCACCAATTAGATCATGACGCGCTGTATGCTGTGTTTCATGAGAAATGAGAGAGCTGGATTAGGATTATATTAATTGAGACAAGTGTGAGGGATTTAGTTACTGTTCTAACCCACCTGTTTAAACCAATCAGATTTGTTCCTGTTACGGCATCACATATTGGTCATGATCTGCCTTTAATGTAGTTTTGATGAGAATAAGAAAGTAATGTAATACAGAATAAAACTTAAAACCGAATACTGAATATCAGTGAATAAAAACTGAGAGAATTAATTAAGTGATTCAGACTGGATCATGAACTGATTTAGACAATTTTGCTCAACCTGTTTCATCTCAAAGATCCGAGAGTCATTGACGAAATAGACATTGATTTGCTAATTCTGATTCTATTTCAAGTAAAAAAATAAAAAAAAAATAGCTCCAAATGATTCAAATTGAACTGGAACTTATTTAGGCCGTTTGTGTCACTGTCTTCTTGAGCTCTGAGAAAAGCACCAGCTGATTCTATGATTTATTAACTCGAACTAGCGAGTAACAATTGTATAGCCTGTTTTTATTTCTGTATCTGCTGAATGAGTTGTGATTATGTTCGTTGACCACGAAAACAATAAGTTCGGGATTTGAACTCAGTCCTCTCACGAGCACTCTAAATGAAACTACGGTCTAGGCTACTACAACAAAGTTTTCTAAAATGTATAACATTATATAATATATTATTTTGAATAATTATTATTGCTTAGTTTTTTTTTTAATGCTTCAAACAACATTACAACAATGCAGCCAGGGAATTAAAAGAAAGGTGTATAATATACATCTTGCTTTATTGTTGTTATGTTATTATATATATACTGTATATATATATATATATATATATATATACACACTGAATATATATAATATTTATTTATTTATTTATTAATCATATGCATTTTCTTATTCACATAACAGGTCCCAAATACTATCGACATCTGAAGATGAGACTACAGGTTTGTCTACTTGTTTTAAAATTGAATGTATACCCAGAATTCCTTGCTGATTTCACTCACAGTTCATTAAGAACTTCAGTATAATCTAACGTAAACCACATGACTAATACTACAGTACTAATAATACTGCTGCTGGTCATAGAACAAAGTGTAATAGAGTTTAAAGGTCTGTCAAATTCATAATTCGAGGGTCAGTTATTTCATCCAGAACTTCATCTGTCTGGATCCCGTTGTATTAAGCTGTATCTTTGTCTGAATGTTTGCTTTGTTTCAGGATTAAGGATTGAATAAAAAAAAAAAAAATGAACTGATTTTTGCGTTTGACCCACTGAATTCCAGAAAAGCTTTTCTGCCGTATATTTTTGAGCACTGTTAACCAAACGCCGGTCCTGCTGACCTACTTGGCCGCAGCGTCTCTCAATAACACTATTTCATTTGCCTTCCACGTTTTGCTCTTAAAATAACCCGTTATTATTTCTGACAGATCACACAGAGTCTGATGCGCACTGGCCGTCCACCAGGAAAAAAGATGGCTTTGTACACAACAAGAGCCATTTGAACACAGGTAAGAGGTCTAAAGATGCTGCAGCGTGTGTTTGTGTGTGTGTTAGCCGAGGAAGTAGGGTGGGCTAGGGGTCAGAGAAAGTTGCGTGTGTCAAACAGTCTTAGTGGATTAGATCAGTGACGACACAAAGCAATTCCAAAAGCCCATGTGAAACAGAGGATTTGATTTGGGCTCAGACTGATTCACTGACAGTCAGATAAAATGTGATCAGGGTCACACTCTTTTTCCCAGACTTCACAAGTTTCCATCTAAATCTAAAGTCTGAATTGTCATAAATCCAGGGCTTGAGCTAAATTATGTTGTATTTTAATCTAGAGACGGTCAAAGATCACCAGCGGTCAAAACTCACTATAGAAGGGAAAGAGGAGCAGGGGAAAGAGGAGAAAACTGTTAGAAATCCTTCGGTCCAGGTAAATCACAGCAGCAACACATAAAAAAATATCCCACAATTTCACTTTCATGTGAAAAAAACATCAAATATTATTAATTTAAGAGTGGCATCTAGAAAATGTGTCTCTCGATAATACAGGATAAATTCCTCTGTGATTAAATTCTCCAATAAACTAATGCGAGTCATTCATCTGTGTAATATTGCACTTTTATCATTCTTTCAATGTCAGACCTGAGATTTTTACATTAAGACAATATCACTCTCAAATTAATTCAGCATTGGTGTTTTTATTTATAGGGTGTGAATTTTGAAGCCTGGAATCCCAATAGAGAAAACTTTGAAGGCAGACAGCAAGGCATGGTGAGTTTCTTCTCTTGACAACTGCTTCGAACCTTGAACTTTTTAACAGTCATTGCACTTTGTTGTGAACAAAATGTCTTTTATGATTTTTTTTTTTTTGTACTGTCACTGCCTTCACTTATGGTTCGGCCCAGACTTTGTATATTTTACATTCTAATTTTGAGGAAAAATACACAAAATAATGCATAATGATTTAAACATGGTAAAATAAAGTTCAGAAAACATTCTTAGAATATATTTTGGTAACACTTTATTTTAAGGTGATATAGTTACATGTTACTACATGTACTTACTATGGTAATAACAGTAGATTATGCATAATTACAAGTAACACACCCTAACCGTAACTCTATAGCAAGTACAATATTACTCAGTGCTTATTTGTAAAATGAAGTGTAACCTATAAATTTGTTACCTTGGAAGGAAGAAAAATGTTTTTCATATAAATAGAGGTCAGACTATGAGGAACTCAAATGACATGTCAGTAAACGCACATCTGTGAAAGGCTTCTAATAAGGTCAGAGTCTGAGGGCAGAGCGTTAGTATTACCCAGAAGCCCCAGCAGTTTATGGAATTTCATGTGTGTTGATTTTGAGGCAGATTGAGGGAGGTCAACTGGAAGGAGCATCTCTGATCTCCCTCACGTGCTGTAATCACCCAATGTCACTTTATTTCAGACCAGGAGGTCAGAGGGCGAGGACGAGACGCAAGGAAAGCTGAAGAAAATCCAGAAACTGGTTGGAGTGAAAAAGGGGGGTCAAAGTGTCACGGAGGAGTCAAGGAACAACACAGAGCCTGGTGGTGAGAAACCTAAAAACATTTTATTTTTAATGTGAACTAAATAATAATACAAAAGCTGCATAATCTATGTTACTTCCTTCAGGTCATTTGACAGAATCCAATGGCAAAGACCACAGTCCTGTCATAACCTGCATCAGTCTGACCAAAAAAGCTGAGAAGAAGCCCACAAGACAACCACCTCCATCCCAGCAGCCTCTGCAGAAGAAGAATGTGGATACAATGGAAACAGAGGGTTCCTGTTCCTTTCAGGAGTACTGGAGTCCCGTGGCGTATTCTCCAGCGTGGGACACGTCCACACACACCTGCCACAGGTCAACGGCTGAACAGGTCATGTATAACTTCAACTTCACCCTCCCCAGAGACACAGACTGGGATAAATACGAGGAGCTCTTTCACCGATTGGACCCCTACAAAAGAGACCAGCAAGCCAGATGGATCACCCACTCCGTCATGGACCTGGACATGCCGGACCCCCTGGTGAGAAACTGATCAGAACTGCACTTCCTGTTGAAAAGACACAAAAGAACAGAATAGAATGCTGGAGACCAGCATTCAGAACACAAAATGCTGGTGTTTCAGATGTGTTTCAGGCGGGTGGTGCAAAACTAACTGCGTGTTTAACTAACTGTGTTAATCAATCAATCTATCAATCAATCAATCAAAACACTGAGTGTACCAAAGTGCTGTACAATTTCAAAGGGATGAGATAAAATACAATAAAATACAAATAAAGGAAGGGATAAAGAAATAAAAGAGAGAGAAAAAAAGAAAAGGAGAAAATATATATAAATGCATCTAATCCAAATGAAGTCCTAATGCCCGCTGAAGATGTGACAGCGAGGACTGACTTACACCCGGGTTACGGTACAAAGCATTGCAGTAATCAAGACGTGAAGAAATAAAAGCATGGATTACTTTCTCCAGATCACTGAAAGATAAGACAGATGTAAGTTTAGCAATATTTCGCTGTTGAAAGAAACTATTCTTCACAACTGAATTGATTTGTCTGTTAAACTTTAACTCTGTGTCAAAAATAAATCCCAGATTCTTGACAAATGCAGATTGGATGGCAAACAGTCTTTTTCTCATTTAACTGGAGAAAGTTATTATTCATCCAGCATTTTACGTTTTTTGTATTCAAAAAGTAATTTAATGGATTTATCATCTCCAGACTTTATAGGCAAATACTGGGTGTCATCAGCATAAAAATAATACGAAATACTGTATTTCTTAAAAATAGAGCCAAGAGGGAAGCATATATCTCTGGTATATAAATATAAGAAAATAACACTGGTCCCAAAATGGAACCTTGAGGGACCCCAAAGGTAATAGAAGCTATAGATGACAAGAAATTTCCAATTTTAACAGAAAAGGAGGATAAGAGGCAAACCAACTTAGGGTAGTTCTTGGATGCCCACATGCTGCCTTAGATGTTCAATCAATATATAAATAAATCAATCGTGTCAAATGCTGTGCTAAGTTCCAGCGAAACTAAGGTAACACTGCTACCAGAGTCAGTTTTCAATGCCATTAGCTACTCTGAGAAGAGCTGATTCTGTGCTATGACCTGATCTAAAACCAGATTAACTAAAGTATACCAGTTTAATTTGGCATTAAGGTTTTTTTTTATTAATATTTAATATCTTCTTTGATCCACAATGTAAAAAAAGACAAAACCTTTTTTTTTGTGATGGATATTTTTTGGATTTTTTAAATAATAACTGCCAAAGTAAAATAATATAAAGGTAAAAATATAAATAAAATTGCTTTTATAAAATTGATATATATACTGTATTAAAAATTCTGTTAGAGTATGTACACTGAAAAATTCACAAGTACATTTTTTTGTAAAGCGTTCTCCAATAAGCTTTTTTTTTTTAATCTACAACTTCAAAAAAACTATTTTTAAACAATGTAAAATGATAATTGTCACCAGCAGTTGCAAGGAACACATGATGAAGATCAGGTATAATGCTTTAATAATCCACTCAGAAGGTAATACAAAACAAGATAAACAAACAAAACCAACCATTATGCATAAACATGACCGGACAAATGAACACTGAAAAGACTGTAACTTAAATACAAAGCAAATGAGGGAAATAATGACAAACACCTGTGATGATTAGTGAATCTCCACAGTAACTAATAAGTGGCAGGAAACTAAACAAAGGAGAACATGTGACTGAGAAAAACTAAAACTAAAAGCCCATGAAAATGAAATTAATATAAAAAAAACTGATATTTAATATTACATATTTTATGGATAAAATTATGTATATTCTTAATGTAATATGCACTACTGTTCAAAAGTTTGGGGTAATTTTTGTTTTTAGAAATTATTAATAATTACAGTAAATTTATCAAGTAAATTGGCCTATTCATCAAAAGAAATCTTGAAGAAATGTATTATGGTTTCCACAAAAATATGAAGCAGCACAACTGTTTTCAACATTGATTGAAATGTTTCTTGAGTATTAAATCATCATATTAGAATGATTTCTGACGGATCATGTGACACTGGAGTAAGACTGGAGTAATGATGCTGAAAATTCAGCTTTGCCAAAACAGGAATAAAACACATTTTAAAATGTATTCAAATAAAAACAGTTATTTTAAATTGTAATACTATTTCACAATATTACTGTTTTTACTGTATTTTGATCAAATAAATGCAACTGGAGCATAAGGGACTTCTTTCAAAAACTTTTTAAAAAATCTCACTGACCCCCTTTTGAATGGTAGCGTACATATTAATTAATTTCATATTAATTAAACTCTAAGTTACAATAATTTATTATTTATACGATCACATACACATTACATCTTTAATTCCGTGTTGTTGTTAATGACCCCACATTATTTTCTCTTGAAGAGATGCTTTAAAGTCACTGATTAGAGATGTCAGAGTAGACACTCACATCCTGTGTGCGGTTGAGGAAGTGTGTTTAGACTCGACTGCGTGTGTGAGCTGCTTCAGGCCAGCGCTGGTGTCTTCAATAAGAGTTGAGTTGCTTTCTGTCAGGGAAACTTCAGAAAAAAAACATTTGACACAATTGACAGAATGCTTCAAAGGAAACCATCCAATGTCTCTGACAAATCAAGGACCAAACCCAAGGTAAAAACGTTTTTTTTCCAGAAACAAACCGTTTGTCCATCTATATGGTGAAAGGAGACATTACGCAAGTACTACCAGTTCGCTCGCTTAACAGTTTGTTATTCTGTTTTGACCTTTTCTGTTTGCAAACCATTGAGTTCCATGAGAAACTGTCACTTTGTTGGCTATCTCTTCTGTGACCATAAGACTGTGATGTGATAATCAAAGACACAATCAAGACTGTTAACAGCCACAGACCACCATTATTTAATTCATTGTGTTTCAGCGATCCACCAGTTTTGGGATGTTTGACAGACAGCAGGCCACCCAGGTCAAGACAGAAGATAAGGGAGAAAGTTTGGTGAGTGTTTCTCTTTTTAATAATGCACATATAAAAAACTGTAAAAAAAAAAAGGTCTTGTATTGAACTCTATGCATGTCTGTGTAGCCTGTGGAAGCAGCTGAGGTGGATCCCAGTAAATCAGGAGGTCTCGGGAAGAAGATGAAGAACATCTCGCTGACCATGCGTAAAAAAATGGGCCGGAAATACACTAAAGCCCTGTCAGAGGAAACGGTGAGCGCTTGCTTGACAGTTCAGCACCTTTAACCTTTAAAACAACATCAAAACTTACCAGCCGTGTTGTTACACTCTTAAGAATAAAGGTTCTTTAGGTTCAGCAAAGAACGCTCTTCTTATCGACACCTTTTTTCTATAGCATTTGGTTCTTGAGTTCTTTTAGAGATGTTTTATCATAGGTTGTTCAGTGAATTGATTTCTAGGTAGTTCAACAAACATTTCAGCACAAATAATTTGTAAAATGTCCAAAGTGCTCTTTTATATAATAGAGTCTGGGGCTGTTGAGATCCATGAAAAAGTACCATAAAAGTATAGTGTATGACCTGCATGTTATATTACGAGTGTTCAGAGTCATACAGTAGATTTCATGTGAGGAAAAGACTAACTTTTAAGATGTTTATCTCTGAAAATCTTCCTTAGATCCTCTAAAAATTATAGTGTAGGTGCAAATTAGCTTTTTTTTTGTCAGTTTGGGTTTCATTTTTTTTTTATAACATCAAAAAATGACAGAGTGAAGAGTAAAAGTTCTTTGCAGAACTTGAAAGTTTGTCCTACTACATTTATCTTGAGTAAACAGTGTGAGTCTGAGGTATTAAAGCAGTAAAAACAAGAACGCACAACGTCTCTGTAGTTTTCTCATTTATTTAAACCTTGTTCATGAATCAGTCTTTATTTGCCGCTGTACTAGAGCTTCTGAGGAGATTGTGTGGGTGGATTACATGCAGCTTCCATGTCTGGGGTAAAAATGGCATTGCAGCTCTCGCGGATTAAAGACTTTGCTCCTTTGAGCGGCCCGCGGCCTTGCACGACCTGACTTTGTACCTGAAGACCTGTCACCTATCAGCTTTTGGTTGGGACTCTTACCTGAGACTTTCTCTCACGAACGCAGTTGATGTTTTTCACAGGGCGAGGAGAATGAAGCTGTTGTGGACGGTACGATGGCCAAAGGCTGCAACCACTCCAGTAACTCGGTGGAGAGTTTGTTCAGTTTGCACAGCGGCCAGAGCTCATCTAGTAAGCTGATCTTCCACAACTAGTAAATCACTTATTATTGGACCATTTGCATTTTAAAAAGTAAAACAGAGCTGCCACCGGATCAGAAACATACAGTTTGCTGATTTGACATTTTGGCGCAGATGTGCTCTTGACATTTCAGCCATGTGGTTTGTGTTTCACTGGTTGTTTTTGCATTTCCTGATGTTTTAGGTGGTGTGACCAGCAGCTCTGAGGGTTATAGTAACAGGGACAGCCTGCGTTTAGAAGAAGACGTGCCCTATACAGGACAGTTTTGCGGGAGAGCCAAGGTCCACACCGACTTTGTTCCCAGTCCGTATGACACAGAGTCTCTCAAACTCAAGGTAAAAACCAACCTGAGATCTTAAGCGACAAGAAACAAACTCAACTCAGCAGTGCTAACTCAATACAAACGATTTTTGTTTCAAATAAATGGTTCTTTTGAACGTTCTGTTCATCAATGAATCCTCAAAAACATGTATTACAGTTTCCACAAAAGTATTAAGCAACACAACTGTTTTCCACATTGATATTAATGTTTCTTGAGCACCAAATCAGCATATTAGAATTATGTCTGACTTTGTTCCCAGTCTGTATGACACAGACTCTCTAAAACTCAAGGTAAAAACACCCTGAGATGACAAGAAACAAACTCAGCAGATTGATAGTTTGGATTTTGTTTTTCCATTAACATGTTTTCTTTTTCGTTTGTAAGGTGGGAGATGTAATTGAGATCATCAGTAAACCTGCAATGGGAATCTGGACTGGGATGCTGAACGGTAAAGTGGGAAACTTTAAGTTCATCTACGTTGACGCGTTGGTGGAGGAAAGCGTGCCGGAACCGAGGATTCGCTCTCACCGGAGGAGCAGAAGACCTCGACCCAAAACCCTTCAGGAATTTCTGGAAAGACTCAATCTGGAGGTGCTTAAACTGTACAACTACATACTGTATCTGAAGATCAACCTGCACCATTCAGATCCAAAAACAGCCATCAGCTTGTTAGATTCTCTTTCAAAGATCTCATAAACAGGATGTTATGTATTATCTGTGAAGTTTATGAAAGTTGGTGGTACTTTAACAGATAAAATTGTTACTGCAGGAGCATATTTCATCTCTGCTGTTGAACGGGTATCAGACGGTGGACGATCTTCGGGATTTGAAGGAGCAGCATCTCTTAGAGCTGAATGTGACTGACCCTGAACACAGACACCTGCTGCTAGCAGCGGCAGATAGCCTGCAGGACCCTGAATGTAAGTGGTTGAACATCAAAAGTCATAAAAATGTTTCATAAAATGTCAGGAAAATGCACATAAATTATACTATCTTTGTTGTTGAATTTTCACTTTTATATAAAAGCTCTCACAGTTAAAGTGCTGACGTAGGATGAGCTCCTCAGCGCTCTGATCGTTTCAGAAGCTCAAAAACAAACCTCATCAAAGCCACAATGGTAAAGCGACAGGCTGAAAGCTCAAGTTTTCACACTTTTTCCCCCAGATAAAAATCTAGTTTCTTCCACTCGGTGTATGATAGCTGTGGTGCCATAAAAATTGAACGCAAAACAAAGATGAGATCAAATACATTTAAAAAAAATTTAAATATATATTTTAAATTATTAACTATATATTTAAATAAGATATTAAATGTGTATTTGAATATATTTAAATGAATAATATAAAATATTGAATACATATTTTAACTAAATTACTAAATATTTTATTAAAATTGTTTTGTTTTTTTATGTCATGACACGATAAATTAACCACAGAAAAAGTACATTTTGAGAAAATAGTTTTTAAACAATGTCAAAAATACATTTTAAAATATTTAAAAAACTTTTTTTAATAATATATTTACACATTAAAATAAAACAATTTTATTTAAATAATTTCAATGAATAATAGTAAATATTGGAAAATTGTTAAATAAAAAAAATGAATAAAATTAATTTGTAAATAAGACATATATATATATATATATATATATATTTAGAGAGAGAGAGAGGATATGGAATATATTTAAATGGATAATAAACTATTTACAAAATACTTTTAATAAAAAATTGAATAAATTGATTTGTAAATTGAAAAACAAAATCAATGACTAGAATAGGGGTCTCAGATTTTTTTTTTTATTACCGTAAAAAAAATAATAATGATGCTAGTGGAAAAAAGTGAATGTCATTGAGGCCAGTTGCCTGCATGTGATGAAAGACCTGACAGGAAGTGTGTTGAGCAGTGAGTTTGTGTGGGTATGCGTCTTATACAGCCACACCTCACAAACTGCATCAAACGTTGCAATACACAGTAAAACATTGCGTGTGTTGTGTGTTATATAACAACATACTTCCAAGTAATGCATGAATGTTTATGCACAATCATCTGATCACATTATCATTACGTCTGTGTGTCTACAAGAGCTTGTTGTAAAAGCCTTGTTTTTTTCTGATGCAGATAATAATCAGAGCTTGGGAGAGACAAATGAGGAGCCCAAATCTCCCTCTGAAGAAGTCAAAGTCGAACTGAATGACTGTCCCAGAGACTCAGGCTGTTACATCGGATCGGACTGTTCAGACAACAGTAAAGAGGACACAGAGACCCAATTGGCCCCTCTCAGCCCACCTGCAACAGAAGCATAAACCACAGCCGTGTATAATGCTTTTTTTTTGGTTGGTGCAAAAACTGTTACCCGTTGACCACAACTTATTTTGGCTGGAGGTTTTGACTGTGTAAAGAAGCCTTTGTGTTTCAGATCTGTTGCATTAAGGAGTTTTGGTCCAGGGTTTGCCTGTGATGACACTGGACTCTCATATCATGGACAATGTGAGAGGAAGATATTACAGATATTAAAGATGAAACATGTAAATATGCTGTAAATATGGTAAGAGAGGTAAAGCTTTGCTCTTGTAAACCATTTAAACTTTGCCTTGCACATGCCAGACAAAACAAACTACTGAGATTACAAATGCATTATTTTATGCAATAAAAGAGTTCTTTATATCGTACTAATTTCATCTGTTACATATCCAGTCATATGAATATACTGAAACTGGTACAGATGCAGTTAATGTAGGTGGGTTCCTGAAACTAAAAGTGTCACTGAAATGCTAAAAAGAGAGAGATCAGAAATACTCTGAAACACTGGGTCATTCACACTAGTCACCCTTGATTGGTTGCTGCCATCTAGTGTGAGAGCTTACTTACTACATCCATAAAAAAATAGGCAAACTATCAGTGCACAAGTAACTCAAAAGTGTTGAAAAAACAGTTTGGCAAAAAAAAATTCTCACAGTTCTTACTAAAGTCTATCTCAAAGCATTATCATTGGTAACTCTTTATAATAACTCCCATTATTGACATTAACAAATATGCAATATAATGGTTTATTAATCATTAGTTAATGCACATTCAAATAGTTAAACTTGGATTCATTTTTGAATATGCATAAACTATAGACTTGTTAATGATTATATAGCGTTCAATGGTTTGACATTAAAAATGGTTAACATTAAAATTCTCTGCATATCTGAATTTATTTCATTAAAAATACATTACAAAACATGCATTTTTGTTTTAATACATGCTTATTCATAACATGTTTTAATACATGTTATTCTTTTACGCGTGGCGTTTTTCGTGTCGGTGTGCACACTCACATTGGCGCCCTTTGTTTAATCACGAGGCGTTAAACGTCGCCTGATAGCACACGTACATCACACAGACCTCTATTTGATGTGTGTGTTTACATCTGGAAGACGTAATTTTTAGAGTCTTTGCTCATCTGCAATACGATAGGACCTTTCCTGTCAGATGTCAAATAGACGTTTAGAAGATGTCTTTAAGATGTAATGATTTAGAATGTATGTTAAACTGACATCTTAAAGATGTCTATCAGATGTTAGTAAACAGCAGATGCTTTCCAGATGAAGTGATCTTTAACAGACATCTTGCAGACGTATGTGTGCTATCTGAATATCGCGCGCTTAATTCGTCCCGATGTGAACAGGCCTTAAGGTGTTTCGTCGCCATCTAATGGCCTGGCAGCAGAATAAAGGGTTTTTAGTCGTTTTTCGCGGATCCGTGTGAATGGGAATCGTTTTGACAATGGTGTCCCCTGTACGCGGAAAACTCAAAGGAATACTTCCCCGTTTTAAGCATATCGTTGTCGTGTAAACCTACCCTCAATGATCCCGTTTTCAAAAGTTTGCGTTTTCAGACATCCAAGAAGACGCTGGTCGATCGTGTAAATGAACGGCCAAAAACAAAAAGAATTCCGTTTTTTAGTTTAAATTAGTGTTGTGTAAACAGCCCAAATAAAAAAGTAGACATTGTAAAGCTAAAGTATCATTCTATCGTTTACACGACACGGTTTTCAACTAAGGCTATATTTACACGGAAACGATCTGAAGAGAAAATTCAAAAGTGGCGTGGCGTTGCATTATCTTGCGTTTAGACAAGCGTTATGGGTGGGAAATTTGCATGCATATGGTGACGCAAAAGTGTGTGAAATTCGATGTAGTATGCACTCCAGGCGGCTATGGCAATGTGAAGCAGATCTGTGCCTTCACTGTTTAGCAGACAGCGTTTTTACCCTTTAGACGGGAACGCGACGGTGGAGCGTTTTTAAGATTTCCACTCTGGAGGGTGGTTTCACTTTTTTGCGTTTTTAAGCCCCAAAAAAGCGTTCTCGTGTAAACAGGGCCTAAAACGTAAAACTTTTTATGTGTTTTGGTCGTTCATTTACACAACAATTACATTTTGGGTGCCTGAAAACGCAAACTTTTGAAAACGGGTTTCAAAGTGGACGTTTTTGAAAACGTTCTCCGTGTAAACAACAAAAACGTCTCGGGTTACGTATGTAACCCTTGTTCCCTGAGAAGGGAACGAGACACTGCGTCGGTGACGACACTAGGGGAACGCCCTTCAGCGTAGCGCGTCTGAATTTATGAATGAAACCGAATCCAATCCTATTGGCGTTGCGTGATGACATAGCGTGTGACGGCATACACGGATGTGTACAAAGGCACGCCGGCACAAGCAAAGTCAGCTCTTTGCTATGAAGCAAGTGCTCCAAGCAGGGTGAGGTGTGGCGAACCGACGCAGTGTCTCGTTCCCTTCTCAGGGACTTTCGAGGGACTCGAACTGCGTCGGTGACGACACTAGGGGAACGAGATACCCACTATACCACAACGAACCCTGCTCATCCTAGTGTGAAACTGACTTCAGGCACAACCTAGGACGAAAGCACTCGTGCACCGGGTGTAGAGGGAAGGTCCAGACTGTAAAACCTCATGAATGTGTGCGGAGTGGCCCAGCCAGCCGCCTCACAAATATCATGTATGGAAACCCCTGAAAGGAGGGCTCTAGAGGACGCCATGCCTCTGGTGGAGTGAGCCCTCACGGCCATAGGTGAAGGCAAATTGCGCACCTGATAGGCCAGGGAAATAGTCTGAACGATCCAGTTGCTGATGGTCTGCTTAGAGGCGGGAAGCCCCTTCTTGGGAGACCCAAAACACACCAGCAACTGGTCCGACTTCCGCCATGAGGAGGACTTCTGGATGTAATACTGAAGTGCTCTGACAGGGCAGAGCAGATGAAGTCTCTCCTCCTCCGCCGTCACATGAGGCGGAGGATGAAATGCCTGCAGAACCAAAGGCCGTGCCACATTAGATGGCACCTTGGGCAAATAGCCAGGCCTGGGGTGAAGGATGGCCTTAATGTTGCCGGGAGCAAACTCCAAGCACTCATTGGAAATAGAGAGCGCCTGGAGATCTCCTACCCTCCTCAGAGAAGTAATAGCCAACAAGAAGACCACCTTAAATGAAAGGTTCTTGGCCTCAGCCGACTCCAATTCTTCGAAGGGGGCCTCGGCCAGCCCTTCGAGAACCACTGCCAGGTCCCAAGAGGGAACCCTGGTGCGAGTCGCAGGTCTCATCCTCCAGGTTCCACGGAGGAAGCGTACGACCAGGTGATGCCTCCCCAGAGGACCATCACCCAGAGGAGCGTGGAAAGCCGCAATGGCAGCCACATAAACCTTGAGTGTGGACGGGGTAAGCCCGGCAGAAAAGCGGTCTTGGAGAAACTCCAGTACTGAAGCCACTGGGCAGTTAACTGGGTCCAAATCATGCTCTCTGCACCAAATGGAAAATACATTCCACTTAAGGCCGTATAACTTCCTCGTAGAGGGAGCTCTGGAAGTTAGTATAGTCTCAACTACTTCTGCTGACAGGCCGGCTTCTAGGTACTGTGCCCCCTCAGGGGCCAGACCCACAGTTTCCACAGCTCGGGCCGAGGGTGGAGAACTGAGCCCCCCGCCTGAGACAACAGGTCCCTCCTCAGAGGGATCTGCCATGGCGGCCCTGCCAGAAGCAGGATGATGTCCGAGAACCATACTCGGGCCGGCCAAAACGGGGCTACTAATAGTAGGCTGACTCCGTCCTGACGGACCCTCTCTAGAACTGCCGGGAGCAGAGCGATTGGGGGAAAGGCGTACAGACGCAGCCTCGGCCACGTCTGCACAATGGCATCCAACCCCAGCGGGGCTGGATGTGTGAGGGAGAACCACAGTGGACAGTGTGTCGTCTCTCGAGACGCAAATAGGTCCACTTCCACTGGGCCAAACCTCTCGCATATTAACTCCACCACCTCAGGGTGGAGTCTCCAATCCCCGGGCCTCAGCCCCTGCCTCGACAGCATGTCTGCTCCCTGGTTCTGGTCCCCCAGGACATACATCGCCCTGAGAGACGACAGTCTCCGCTGGGACCACAGGAGGATCTGATACGCCAGTCTGCACAGAGGGCTCGACCTCAGACCCCCCTGATGATTTAAGTAAGATACCACCGACATGTTGTCGGATCTTACTAGGACATGGCGACCATGGAGGTCTGGCAGAAAGCTCCTCAGAGCCCGGAACACCGCCAACATCTCTAGGCAATTTATGTGCCAAGAGGAATGTTGGTCCTGCCAGAGACCTCTCGTAAAACGGCCGTCCATGACCGCGCCCCAGCCCGTGAGGGAGGCGTCTGTCGAAATAGATATCCGGTGACACGACGCTCCCAGCCTGGGACCCAGGGACAAGAACCAAGGCTTCTTCCAAATTGATAGGGAACGAAGGCATCTGCGCGAAACCCTTATCAAGCGGAATGGACTTCCCCTCGGGGAAAACCCCTTGGCTCTTAACCACCACTGTAGAGCTCTCATGTGTAGCAGGCCAGAAGGTATTACGCTGGACGCCGCTGCCATGAGACCCAAAACTTTCTGAAAGTGTTTGACAGTGATGGCTTGGCCTAGCTTTATTCTGGACACTGAAGTCAGGACGGACTCGATCCGAGCAGGAGACAATCGTGCCCGCATCGTGACTGACTCCCACACCACTCCCAGGAACAGGGTTCTCTGGGCTGGTGCCAACACACTTTTCTTTGTGTTGAGTCTCAACCCCAGGCTTTGGATGTGGGCGAGGACGACTTTTTAATGCCGAATCGCCAGCTCTCGCGACTGCGCCAGTATCAGCCAGTCGTCGATGTAATTGAGCACCCTGATGCCCTCGAGCCTCAGGGGTGCTAGAGCTGCATCCATACACTTGGTAAAAGTGCGAGGGGAGAGTGCCAGGCCAAATGGAAGAACCCGATATTGGTAAGCTTTGCCCCCGAAAGCAAACCTCAGG